TCTATCTATCTATCTATCTATCTATCTATCTATCTATCTATCTATCTATCTATCTATCTATCTATCTATCTATCTAATTCCGAATAAATAGATGAAGAATTGAGTCTTCGGGCGTTGATCAGTTCCGTCTGAAGAATGCGCCCACGTATTCGGCTTCCATTCAGAATCGTAGTAGCGTATTGAATGCGTTTGTGGCACATGCAATGAATTGCGTTGGCCAGCCGATGTACAGTTTAGGGTTTTATCCTCCCAGACAAGCCTGGCACCAATTAACCGACCCCGGAGAGGATGGAAGACCAGGTCGACCTAGGCGGATATCGATCCGGGACTTGAACCTATGGCCATGCGCTTACGATAGTGCGCTACTGCCTCTACATCATCTACGAGGAAACGAATAACGCGCTGCAGCTGTGTGAATTTGATAAGAAATGAACTGGCAGCTCAAATTCATATGACCAAACGTTTTCATTGTGATTTTACGTATAAGTAAGGTGGTTTCTCGGTAGAGAATATGAGGAAAAGCCTGATTATGAACAGGCATCAACCATGACGCGTTCAGACGTCTTGTTAGGCGAGATGAAGACATATTTTGAAGCGACAGCAGATCCAACCGAAAACATGGCCCGTTAGTGCAGCATAATTTCTTTCATATTATGAAAACTTGTTACAGTCTTCAACTCTTTCATTTGCTGAAATAATTACTGTAATAGTTCCTGCTACTATTTATTAGTTATCTAAGGTTTCTTCAGATCGCAGGACAAGTCTGAATTGCTCGCAGGTGGTAGCTGGTCCGATAACTGGTAACGTTTAACGTTCGTGGAGGAACGAGAAATCACTAGCAAAAATTCCTTTCATCCTAATGCCGGAAAGTGTGGCTTACTCAAGTAGAACGATAGAAGCATCACAGAAAGAGGAATTGGGCTCTATAAGGATGGCAGTTTGTGTGCAAAACTTCCTCTTTGAACTGACTTAAACCTGGCAGTGTTTCTTTATCCCTTACACTACCGCCACCCAGCTTGCCCTCACCTTCTTAATGGCCTATATACCAAGCGGGGTCTCGGTAGTGGGAAAAATAGAGAATGTGGTGCCCGGGTAGCACTCCCCGGGATGGGGTCCCGTCCGAGGCGGAAGCTTTGCCTGCAATTTGTCATCCTTGTGTCGGCTCGCACATTCGCATCGCATACTGCGGCGAAATAACAGCACTTACTGATTTGTAAGAACCTCAAATCAAGAATCTTATCCAAAGTAGAGCAAAGAGTTGAACTATCGAGACCACGGCTACAAAGAAGGGCCTGTCAAAGGTTCTGGTAAGTGGGGTCCAAATATGGTTGTTACGGTGGCCTTAGACTAATTGCAGTGTAAATACACTTAATAATGATCATTAATTTCAATTCAATGAGGATACCAAGTACTTTGAAAGTTTCCTACAATGTTGCTTAGCAGTAAATAAAACTCAGGGCCTCAGAATGGAATCATGCTCCCCGAACAGAAGGCTTTCCCATCGCACTACAGCTACCTGAGGCTCCCTCCTTGTTTATCGTCCCTATAGCCTATGGGGTTTGAACTGTAATCCTTCGATGCTTATAACAGGTTCTTTAAACTTCTTAGATGAACCTAGTAACGATTAAATAGCTCTCAGAACACTTTGAGACTTCGTTGCCCCCCGTTGCCTGGTGGGTAATCAGTCCAGTATCGCAGAGCCTGGTGGGCCCAGCTATGGACTATTCGTTCTTCGTCGTCTCATTGAAGGAAATGGAATTGCATAGCATACCATGGCTAAAATGGTCACTATACCGTACTATACAGTATGCAGTGAATATACATATAATTAGGATCGCAAATGTGCAGTATAGTGGAGAAGCGCTGAGGGTGGATGTGTCTCGGCTCCTTCTCGCGGAACTGCCACGTGAACTTCCTTCTGTGCGATGCCCTGGCTTTTCTGCAGGGCACTGATAGCCTCTTCTGTTCTTTCAGAGTGTTTGTAATATCGTTCCGATTCAGATTGGAGAATACTTAATGATCTTCTGTGGTGATTTTCAATCAAACAGCTTGTGTGCCCAAGCATGTCATTCGATCGAAAAGCATCTTGTGAAAAATCGGACTCAAAATATATTTCAATAGTATATATCCCGTTTGCAGTCATTCATTACCCCACGGCGGATTAATGTTGGGACGTGAGAATCGGGCTCATCCCTTGGGCTGAGGAATAAGCCACGAACTAATACGGTAGTCCATTAGCGTATGACAGAGACGCTGAATTTATGATATGAGCCGGGAATATGAGATTAAGACTATGAGAATCGAAAGATTAGTGGGCAAAAAACGACAGTGATCGACCACTTCTCTCCCAGAAGGGATCTCCCAGCAAGTTACTCGAAAACAAGCGGTCACCTTTGACGGCTTTGTCGACCTTACATAACACTTACCGTAATCCGGCGGGGCTTTAAACTTTCTGGCGGCATCAAAAGGTGTCAAGCCATCCATCCTAATCCTTTGTTGTATGTGTCCCTTATGAGATATCTTGGGATAAGTTCGAAGTGCTTTTGACTGACCCCACCCCCGAAATGGCAACCTTCTCAGTCCGTTACTGCTCACACCTGGGCTCACCTACACTGACTGCATTTATGGACAGTCGCAATTAACACTTCATTATCACCTTGTTGGCTCCCCACAGGAATGCTCTAAACAAACATCCACATGCAATTAAATACCTCAATTTAGTTGGTCCCAATTAAATCCCAATCATTGTCTCAGGCTAACTACCAGCACAAAGTGACCAGAAACATTTACTTACGAAATAAACTTATGTATGTATAGGTTGAATAAAAAATATTCACATGATAGAGCTCGAAATCATAAATGAAGCTCTTGTATAACAAAAGACAAAAAGCGATCAGAAATGCTGGCAAGAAGCGGCTTCTATGATACATGATGTACAGAGATTTGTAGACGAGACGGAACGGCTAGGCTTCCTCGGTCCCGCTGAAGCTCTCAGGACTAGCCACTGAGGTGGCCGGTCGCAGGAAAGAGCCATCAAAGGTGGATGTTGAAGGAGATGAGGTGCTTCTGCCGAGTAGCCCTTCGACGCAGAAGTCGGTTCGAGGGCCTCGTGCAGGTGGCAGTGCCACGGGTTCAGGTCTTCGTGGATTCAGAATGTCGGCGATCAGCCTGGACATGGATGCCTCACCAATTGATGGGCGAAATAGTACGGCAACCAAAGAATCGCCGGAGATCGACAGAACGTCCAGACATCTGTAACGAGCAAATGTTAGCGATTGTAATTCACCTACATGGGCAAATCGTTGATCGTCAACACCTACTTCAAGAATCGCAGGGGATCGTTCCGATGGACGACTTGATGATAAGCGGCCAATTGAAATCCGAGTTGGTACGCTGACGGGGTATCTGTAAGCATCCAAATTGAGCATTTGTGGTGCCATCTAGCGCTAAGCAAAAACCGCCTTCGAAACGAAGCCGTTTCAGCTACAGCCGCGACTTTTTTGCCACACCCGCCCGACTACAGTAACCCTCCAAGTGATTGTTTGCGTCGTCGCCCATCTCCCTCACCCGAGCGGCGTCTGGTTCTCCTCTCACGACATCGTCAACCGACGTGGTCACATCTGTTCCAATTCTGTGAATTTGAAATAAGCAAATAAAGACGCGCCACACTTAGATTGCAGTCGTTACGAAGCTAGTTGGCGATCCTGGTTAAATATAGTTGGTCAAGGCCGCAGACTTCGTATGCCGAATTCCATCGGGCAATACTCCCAATGCTTATTTGGGCGCTCAACTATTGGAACTGGGATTCTCCCTATCTGAGGGAACTCCCTCGTTTTGGCAATTTAGTGAATTAACTTCTCAGAACGAATGGACTGGAAGAAGCTTTCCGAGGTTTTGCAGTTAGCAAAGATCGAGCGCTGACTCCTGATCGGTAGTCGTGGGCGAAATACGTAAGAAGTTGGTTTGAGTGCGGTGAGACGTTAGCAAGCTCTTCTGCTACCTAGATTGAATATCTCATGACAATGTGATCAGTCAAGTATCCCGAACATGAAAAGAAAAAGGGATATGCTCCACGAAGACAGCGCTCCCGAAGCTCTCGACGCCTTACTCGGTGACATCCCCTGTATAATCATTCGAGCGTGCAATTCCCAATCTGAAATTCCAAAAGTTGCTTTCGCTACCTCCCTCGGTCCTCCCACTGGCTCCTTGAACCTTTTACTCTTTTCCTCATGCTTCTAAACTACCTACCTTTCATGAGAGCATAAGTCCTAAGCATGGCATGCTCACGTGCGTCAAGCCGTAGCGACTCCATCTTCTCGAAACACTCGGCAACCTTAATTTTAGAAGGACTGAGAAACACTCTTAAATGGGAGCACTAGTATGATCGATACCTCAGCTTTCTCCTTGACGAAATCACTGGGATCATTAAGTATTTGCTGGGATGTGATGAATGGGCGCTCTCCACAACTGAGCACGAAGAGGGCCGGCCAGCATTGTTGAAAGGTGTTGATCTGAAAGCATTCGATGTTCTTGAAAACTGCAAATGTTGGCAAGCACTTGGTGCCCTCTTAATGGTGAACCACTGACCTGTCCCTCAAGGGGTAAACACGCGAATGGTAGCTGGTAGCGTGTCCAAGTGATCAGCTGGAAGAACACTCGAGCAGCGACTTCAGGTAGTTTCTCCAAACAAGGAGGAGAAGCATCAGAGTCTGAGCCGAGGTCTGGCTGGAAAAGAAATATACTGTGGAGAGGCAAATATTCAGTTGATGTAATGAACAGATTACAATTTTGCAGTTTTATATAAAATTAAAAACTGCACACAATTTTATATAAAAAATAGACGATATAACAAAATTTGTTGATCGACATTTAATCTATGAGCATTTCCTTCTCAGCAACTGCTAATCAATGAGTTCCTGCATCATGGAATTCGACTGGGGACAAGCCTTTAGCGAGCACTTGCGATTCTCTCGGCCAACTACGAGGGCAGAGTGAAGAAGCCACATCGACAAAGGTCGAAGTGCAATCGTCGAGACGGCATTTGTTCGCGACAGCTCTTCGGCTACGCGAAGTGGCTCCTGAGCACTTTTAGGCTTGTCCATGTTGTCTTGGCTCGATTAGCCTCTCCGAAAAATTCCACCACAAAGCCCCACAAGCGGTCGTTAAGCGATCATTCAATCGGTAGTACCCTATCGATGCCGAACCGTTTACCTCTGGCTTCTCTTTTTCGTAGAAAACAGTCTTTCTCAGAAGATGTGGAAACACCGCTGGAACGGTTTCTAGTATGAATAATACTGAAGAATAAGCATCATATCACTTGCAGACGGAAATTAGCCAGGCCAAATAACCGCAGAGAAAGGATCCGCAGTTTTCAGGCAGGTCTAATTGTGGCAGCTTGTAAAAGTTCAACGAATCCGAGCTGTCATAGCAGCCTATTGAAAAATGTGGATCTCCCAATTCAGCGACCATTGCGAGCATGTTTGAAAAACCACAGCTAGCCGAGCACAACGAGATCGAGCTTTCCCAAGCCGCTTTCCGAGTGAATAGTTATCAGCCCTGATATAAAAGAATTTCAGAGAGTCTGACCGATGACTGCAA